TATTAAAAAAAAACTTCGGAGGGAGGATATGATGGATTTCCCCTTTCAACTACATATCTGCTTACCTTGCTGGTTAGCGTGATTCAAGAAATAGCTTTAAGTATTTTGGTTCTCTTCAATTGAAGTAAAACGAATTAATATCTTCTCAATGTTTTATTATCAATATGATATTCGACTAACCTAGAGGTCGTGAATTCAAAAGTCTAACCTGATAAAATACAGTTAGACATAAATATATGTTTCCTTTTATAATTTTTACCTTAATTAATTTTTCACCATTTTTTACCACCTTCATGTTATGAACTGACGAAGGTCAAACGGAAAAAACCCATCTTTTTTTTATATTACTGCGATTGTTATATACTTTTGCATACAAAACCGGTAGGTTATCATCCGGGTCACTTGTTTTTGTGGAAAATCATATGGCCTATTTATCAAACAGTTAGTTTAACTGTGGGAGGTAGGCTTGATCGCTTGCTTTGACATGATGCACCAGATATAAGGATAATGTCTTTATTATATTAAGACTGAATTTTTACTTATACTGTAGAAATATTCCGATTATTATTATTTGTGTTGCTTTGTATTGATATGTACTGCATTTAACTTACCTTGTGGGTACAGAAGTACAAATAGCGTATTATTATATATTTAACAGTCGGAAAAAGCCTGATTGTTTATATTTAACCGACTCTGTTGTGAATTCGTGCCGAAATTTAGAGGAAATCAACCTCGAAGGTGTTAGGTGTTAGTGAGCGTACACGTTTCTCCATCTGCCGATCTCGGGGCCTGCGATAGTAGAGTTAGCGTGATATTTAAATGTACCACGATATTTTGTCATCGTACTGTAATATTTGTGATGGAAGTGTGTTAACCTGAGTCGTTGAGACTCTTTTAACGTATTTGCCTGGTGTGTGGTATTCCTTTGACCTAGTTCACTTGTTTACATAGCATTGTTATCGATCGTAATGCCTTACTATGGTAAATAGTACAAAAAGGTATATTCATACAAGAAGATACAGTCGATACAGAAAAAGACAACAATATGGGAACAAAAACAAGAGAAGCAGTAGTATCACGATCAACCAAACACTAAGACGTCACAATCAAGAGCTTAGTTACTTGAGAAACATCACGAGAATAACGAAGTGTGACAAAAACGTAAATCGAACTTTATATCGTTGAAGCAAGAGTTTAAGATGATCAAAGGAAAACTTCACATGAAGACCATTTAAAAAAACGTGTTCTCTACAAGGGTTGACATTTTTGCTTCATCGACGACATCAGCGATAAAGATAAAGGTCAAATTCAAGAAATGTCACGTTTTCAAAGAGGACGTGGGATAATGACATTTAAACAAAGAAACACTTATGCGCATTTAAAAAATAAAGCTTTTAATTGCACGTCGTAACAGAACGATTACGAATAAAAAAAACCTTTGAAACCATAGAAAATGCATTGACTTAGTCAAGTCTCGAAACTCTTGATAGATTGTATCGGTCAAGTTACGGACGTTAATATACATAAAATAGGAAACCTATATTTATATTTACTGATGTCAGGGTTAATTTGATAAACTGTTAAGTAGATCAAGACGGTTCCCACAGCACACGTGTACACGAATGGTCACATGGAATACAACGTAATTAAAGAAGATACCTATTTCAAATCTCAGAGATGCAAAACGAAATCAAAACAAAGGACGCATTCGCTATAAAAATATCATATTTATGATAGTCCGTATAGAAAGTGGATACTATACGTTTTATATACAAACATCACATCGAAAACATGTGCTCAAAATATATACTTAAAGAACACAATAGGAACTGAGAAGACCAACAAAAAGAAAATTAACAAATATATTAAATCATTAACCATCGTATATATAAATACTGTATGACATAGTATATGTTCCGGAAATGTAAGCCGTGCTCTGTCCTTTAATATCCAGGAGAACGTGTAGGCAAACAAGGGCCTTAGGCTTAGTAAATAAACATTTATCATTGTAGACAATATCTCATAGTAAGTATCAGTTCCCGGGGACGACAATACAAATTCCAGGTCGAGCACCTATAGGTATTTCGGCTAACTCATTGAATAGTTCATAATTAGCAATCGATCAACATCAAAATGTCTGAAAAGGCTTCGAAATGCACGGATACATATCGATAGATATATAAGAGGAAAACTTGAAAGCTGATGTAAATTAAGAGTTTATAGAATTATAAATAACATCGAATTATGTATCAAAGGTTTGTTTTGTAACTGTATTTATCATTACACTTAAAACATACATGGCTTGTGTTAGTTTGCTATCTGCATTAGTTCTGGGCTTGCTATGCTTTTTCAAGCTGCACTTTTGTTGGTGTTTTTTTTCATAAAATCTCAAATTCTGAATAAATCTGTTATTTTTCGTGCGACTTCCCTGTCTATCAATTTAAGGTAGCAATTTACGACCTGACAGAGACATTTTTACCCCCTCTTTAAAACAAAAAATGCAAATTAATGTCAGTTCAGTTAGAGCATTTACTTTACTTTAATTCGAGCGAACAAGGAAACTCCACTGATTTACATACATAATATACTTTAATTTATTTGCAAATTATGTTTAGTAAACGCTGTTGTAATCCATTATCAAGGTTTCCTGTTTTCAAACAAATGTAAATGAGGCGTTAATATCATTTATAAATACGTGTCCGGATCACAATGCGCTACCAGGGACTACGCCTAGATAGCTTTCCGAGTCGTACGTGGTATTTTATTTTTTATTTTTTATTTTTTTAAATTTTGATATACGTTTTGAGAAGTCTCTTAAAGATAACAATTTTGTATAATTTGTCTTGTTTACCAAAAAAAATCTTTTTAATTCCTGTAAATCTAATTTTTAATGTTTTGAGAAATCTCTAAAAGTTATTTTTTTGTGTATAATTTGACTGTTAACGTATAATCCTTTCTTTTAATTCCTGTTTATCTATTTGTTTATGTTTTGAATTTCAATAGGTTGTCGTTAAGCTAACCAGACCTTCAGTAAATGGACTCCGTCGATTAAAAGCACAGTGACCATTTTCGAGAATAACAAAGTATCATTCGTAACAAATTCAGAGGTGAACCCAACAACCAGGAAAAACACATTCATTTCTAATTTATAATACCAAAAATACATGGCACGACCGATGGCCGAACGGAGCAGGCAAAACCGACGAATCAGGTGTTTTGTCTAGTAGCATTATCTCGTGTTTCCTAGCCATAAACAATAAGTAATAATAATAACAATAATAATTCGAGGTTCTGATATACCGCTTTATAACAACTTAGTTCGTAGGTCGTCTCAAAGCGGTTCACAAATTATTATCCGTGGTTAGAGGGCCTTTGCAACCAGCCAATACCTTTCTCAACTCCCGAGCATACAGCCGGAGCTGCCATTTCAGCGCTAACAGCTAGCATTCAGTAGACTGGAACAAGCGGAGTAGAGTATCTTGCTCAAAGATACAACACAGTGCCGTGCCGTGACTCGAACCCGCAACCCTTCGGTCACGAGCCGGCGTCCTACCACTAGACCACCGTGCCTCAATTAACCTATGTGCATATTGAACATTTATCTTTGTTTTGACAGTTTTCTATTGTTATTGCTGCCATTCGATTCCTAGCTTGTTTATATTTGTTTTTATGTTATAATATCTCCTAATGTTTAGTATTAGTTGGAGATGATCAAATGATTGGTATCCTAGATACGACCCATTTCGACTTCTGATTCAGGCAATGATTTCAAATGGGAGAGTATTTATTGAACTTGGATTTATTTCATTATGATTTTTTAATTGTACTCTGATGGGGCTTAAACACTTAATCAATAAGCATTAATCGAAATATAAATACATATATTTGTTTTACGTGCAAATTAGCCTGCTACACTATTTTATTCTTAACGCAATTTTAGCGAAACAATCAATTCTAAACAAAGAAAAGAATCGTCAGAAAATAAGGATAAACAAGAAAGACAAAAACCAAGCAAACGAAACGACAACAACAAACAACATTAAAACCGTTATCACAAACGCATAATGATTACAATGTGCATGACGGTAGTGAGATGAAAAATATATACAAATAAGTATTGCTTGATTGGTTATCATATATGGTAAATACTACATGTGCAACCGACATGGCCAATGACATTCCCTTTGCTTCAGAGACTATGCTCTACAACATATGTCAAATCTGTAAACTTATCGACATATTTATGTAAAATGTTATACAGTTAAGTATATTAAAGTAGCAAAACAATACAATTGCTGTCTTAACTGCAGCTTCGCTCAACTGATATTATATTCATTCTACACACTTTCTTTCAAATCTTTTAATAGTCATGCAAAAAGTAACAATGTTTTTTTAACAAACAATCAATATCAACAATGTTTATTTCAAAATTTCAAGCTTTATTCTAACTTGATAATTACTTTAGCAAACAAAGCAAGAACGTATTACAGCTGCTTGTAAAATATGGGATAACTTACATCAGCACGTAACTCCATGTTGAGAATAGGATTGGAAAACCGGGGAGATACTCTATCAAAAGGGAAGACAAAAGATTAATGGAGAAGAGAGGTGTTCCAAAGGGTACTATTAACTTACTTAAAATAATGTTACTCCTTACAGTTTATCCACTTCCCATGTGAACGTATACCGTAGTATATATGAAATATGAACAATAAAATAAAAAAATAAGGAATACGTAAGGAAAGTCTTTTAACTGGTCCGTAAGATAAATTGTTAACGAGAATATATAAATCTTTGTGATGAAGCTTCCTGGAAATCTTGAACGGTTGGAGCTTCACTTATTCTTATAACTGCAACTATTTTACAAACTTGGTCTACTATCAACTAGTGATGATATTATNCAACTCTTCTATCATCGTTCATCACAAAGATTAACACGCTTGTCCGATGTTGATATGATTTTGACAATTTTTAGTTCCATGTCCGCATTCAAAAATATATAAAAGAGACCGCTTAAACCTGATTAAAATATTAACACATCTACATTGAAAAGAAACACAGACAGTTCTACAAGGTGAGTAAATCATGTATTCATGCTTTCCTTACGTATGTCTATGCTTACTCATGCGTGGTTTTCTTTCGAAACTAACTTTTTCAGTTATTTCACTGTTATCGACTGTATAACAATAACTTTGGTACAGATCGGAAGCGTTAGGACTAGGTTTGATACCAGTCCAAGGTACCAGACCTTAGGACAAGAATTTATATTGTTTCACAGCAATAGTCGTTAGAACAAGAGTTGATATTATTTTACAGATGCGTTGTTAGGACTACTACTACAGATACGGACGTAAGCACTAGAGTCGGTACTATTACATAGAAACAGTCGTTGGGATTAGAGTTTATACTATTTTTCATCTAATGCCGTCTGGAATAGAATTTACATCATTTTAAAGAAATAATTGTCTGGCTAAGATTTGATATTATTACACAAAAACATTCGTCATAAGACAAGAATCCATACTAGTTATTAATATGTTACAAATACGATTCGTCCTTGGTAACAAATGCAATCTCTAGGACTAGAATCAGAACTATTTTACAAACTTGGTCTACTATCAACTAGTGATGATATTATTCTACAGAACCAGGGGTAGGAACTAGAACTGAAACTCTGTTACAGGTACAGCTATTTAATTAAGGAGTGCTACAGTTTTACACTCTTTACAGATGCGGTCGATAGGAATATGGCTAATGATGTTGGTGGTTCTGATGGTGATAGTTACTGAAGCAGATGCAGGAAAAACTAAGACCAAAATCAAGATCAAAATCGTTTACAAGAAGAAAACTAACACGCGTTCAGGGCGCTCTGTAAGTATAATAACAAGTTTTCTATATCTTAATGTGATACGTTCATCGCCTGTTTTGCATTACACCTCGATATAGTAAAGTATAACTTAGTTACGTTTACGATTTGAAATAGGAGTTTTGTTCCTCTTATAACCCGACGTGAGCAAAGTAAGATTTGAAGAACTATAGAGCTTCTGGACCTTATTTATATGCCATGTATCATGCAATTTATCTTTTGCTATAATTAACGGAACTTCATATCCAGTGCTTCCATTAACAAGTAGTATAACTGGAATATGTTCAGATTTGACGGAATTAACAAATATGTATCAATTTTTCATGAAATAGAGCTTTCACTAACATCATGAAATGGTTGACTTTGCACTTAACCGTCAATGTAACATATCTTAAGATAAAAAAGTATAGAAGAAAATCGAAAAATGCATGTTTACAGTGGTTCATTAACAGAATTTCTTTTTCAACCTTTAGGGTATTAATGTTACCCATTGACACAATTTTTAAGGCAATTTAAAAGCGATATTTTTAAGATCATTTGAACAAATATCCAAACCATTAACACTTATAACATATAAGAGCCCTGTGGATTCTGAACACATTATCAGATACATTATTTTGAGACAAAGCGTTTCTCTGAATTGTTCCAATGAAGTTCACATCTGCAGCAGATATGCGTAATATAGCCGTTAATAAAAGCAGCCTCTACGTGAACGTGGTATAACGGATTGATGATGTGTGTTTTCAAACCTAAGTTCTAATGTACATATTGAAGATTTTCGTTATTGGTATACTTACTTGTATATTCTTTTTAAAGTTAAAGTTGAAGAGTATCCTAACAAACATTTTATATAAAGGACGCCCGACTCGAATGCTTCATTTCGATAATCGAAGACTTATTTTCATAACCAAGTATTAAGGTATAACCCAAACTGCTCAGACATAACACGAGTCAAATGGACTTGTACAGGACTTGTCAAGCTAAACATTCATAAAACATGTTTGTTTGCAAGCTATATATACTGTTCATAAAGTTACGCTCGACTCTATCAAAATTAGTATCTGCTCTTAGATCGAAGACACTTTGACACTTCCTTGTGAGGTCAGTGAATACGACACTGATAAAGATGGAGCCGTAAGCAAAAAGGAATGGGAGGACTACGTAGCGAAGTTTAACCCAGGGCTGCTGAACTCCCCGGAATACGTGGATCTTATCATTAAGAAACTCGATGTTAACGGTACGAAACTTTCTATTTTCTAAATAGTCCATAATTATTACTATTTTAGGGCATGAGAGCATTCTGGTGTTTGTATTCGTTTGACTGATGTTTTGTGATTGACAGGCATCTGTGTAAATATCTAGACATAATTTTGGCAATATTGTAGCGGCCGGCAGGTGATTTCGACAATCTGGCTACGGAGTTTTCGGAGTTGTCTCGATGATTAGTTTGATTTGGATTTATTATGTGTAACGTCCCATTAACAGCTATTACTATTAGGGACGCACCTCAATGTGTGAAATATGTGCGTGTATGTGTGCTGGAAGTGGTACGTTGGTGTATTTACCTCTTGTGATAGCGCAAATCTGATGCCGAGTTTAGAATGCTACATCACTGAAATAGCATGCCGAAGACACCAAGCACAGCATTCCGCCCGGTCACATTATACTGACAACGGATCATCCTCTTGTTGCAATTATCCTAAATGCTAAACGTTAAGCAGGAACAATACTTTGGTATGGCACTTAAATGGTTGTTTCCAAAATGTAAACATAAACAGTAATTGCTTTTGTCATATTTTATGTCACTTCTAGATATGCACAGCTGTAGTGAAAAGCATCGTTTTCAATCCGAATAATGTGTGCCAAGTTTTGTTAAATAACTATCATGTATCTTTTTTTTTACACCTGTTCAGATTTAAACTACTTTAATGAAAAGAAAATCTATTTTTTCCCCAAGAATATTAGTTTGGAATAAAATTTACAGGAAAGGCAAAAAGGCTTGAATAGCTTATACTGTTCAAACAAACCTTTACCTACTTCACTTTTTACTAAGGAAAAGTGCATGTCTTGTGTACTAGTTAACGTTGCAACATAGTTATATAATATCAAGTAGAATTTGTATATATTTTTTATAGATAATAAGATAGATAATGTCATACATCTTTTTAAACATGTTTTTTTTATATAGGTGATGGAGTTCTTCAAATCCAGGAGTTGTTTGTGGATAATGAGTACAAGAAGGATTGCATATAAGGTAATAAACTATTTTGTATGTGAACATTCTTAACTTGAATTGAATAAGTGTTTGTAACTACACTATGGTAATTATAAGTGCTCTCAAATTCATTAAGGAAACGTCGAGTGTTTATACCTTGACTTCGTTAATATAAACCGAGGTAGCTATTGGTGTTGGTATATTTAGTTAGGTCATTACTTAAATGTGTAATAAAGTAACTTTATAAAATGTGCATGTGTAATTATTAATGTTAGTTATACTAAATAGCGTAACTGTTAGTGTTGGTATTTAAGGTAATTGTTAAGTGTTGCTATATTTTCTTATTTAACTATTAATGTTGTTATATTTACTTTAGTAACTATAAGTGTTGGAATATTAACATAGATAACTATTAGTACTACATGTATTAGTGTTGGCATTTTACATAGATAAATATCAGTGTTGGCATTTTACATAGATAAATACATGTATTAGTGTTGGCATTTTTACATAGATAAATATTCGTGTTGACATTTTTACATAGATAACTATTAGTATGGGCATTATTACATAGGTAACTTTAAGTGTTTTTATTAGGTAATTGCTATTGTTGGAATATTTGCTTGGGCAACTATCAGTGTTGGAATATTAACTTGGGCAACTATCAGCGTTGGATATTTACTTGGGCAACTATCAGTGATGGAATATTTACTTTGGCAACTATCAGTGATGGAATATTAACTTGGGCAACTATCAGCGTTGGATATTTACTTGGGCAATTATCAGTGATGGAATATTAACTTGGGCAACTATCAGTGATGGAATATTAACTTGGGCAACTATCAGCGTTGGATATTTACTTAGTTAACTAATAACGTTGGTATATTTACTCGGGTTACCATTTATGTTGTAATTATTAGCGTTAGTATATTACATAGGTTACTATAAATGTAAATATATTTACCTACGTCAATTTTAGTGTTGGTACATACGTGTTGCTTTAGATATGTAATACTTGATTAGTGTTGAATTTTACTACATCAAACAATTTATAAAATATGTGAAACTAAAAGAAAATATAATTGTATAGTTCAGATGAAAATATTACTGTGTATCTGTTGGGATCTTTATATGAGGTAATATTGATCAAAGTCCATTGTTATTCTCTTTTTACAGCAAATGTATTTCAGTCATCCAAGCAAAAGAACACGAAGTAACATCTTGACATATGAGTCGAGGACCAGTAACCAGTAGCCCAGTCCGATAATATGCTTCAACTAAAATACACGTACGACACGTACCACTTACAGAACATTTTGCTATGTGATGTTGTCATTAAAATACCTGAAAAGCAAATGACATGGTTGTTTTTACTATCATAATACAAAGATTATGGAAATTTTCCCGAGGAAAAGCGTATAGGAACGTTCATGGGGCGTTCTTTTCACAACAGTTGTAGCATATGGTCTGGACAGTGAACGCATTAGACATGAGCTTATGTCAGTATGGAGGAGAGAAGGGAAGTAAAGATGGGAGGGGATTGAGGGAGTGCTAAGCGTATGTACATACCATGAGCCCCTCTTCCCAAACCCTATACCTACGTTTATCGAACATCATCTAATGAATAAATGCGAGGAATACCAAGTCTGTTCATAAGCTCATAACCTCTTTCAAGAAATATAGTTATCGGACTTTTATTGAAGTACGTTGAGGACAAACTCCTTATATATAACTTAAATAAACCATGCTAGGTTTTGCAAATATATATATCAATAGCATAGCACGATAGAATATATATCACGCGAAGCAAATTAAATGAAACCCACAAATACACGTACGTTTCCTTGATATTGAACACATACCTGTAATAAGTAAATATTTAAAAAGAGAATTTCTTGCTATTATTTCAAATTATAATTCGTGTACTTTAGATCCAAGCGTCGATCTCACAGTCTCAGGCACCAAATGACACAGTAGCGAGAAATACCTGCAACCTATCCAGGTGCGCATATTACTAATACTATTAATACAGGATTTGTCGCTCTGATCACGCGTAAATTACCGAAGCTTTGATAGTTTCATAATTACAACCATAGGTTAGAAGGAAGCAATGATGCTTTGCTCGTTAGAAATGTAGATAATTCTCCGCTAGGCGATCGATGCTGGAGACAGTGACTTATATTTCCTATTTGGTTTGTCTCCGCTCAGTTTGTCGTTTAACGACGCTATTTGCTATCCTAATATGTTTAAAGGCAAATGTAACTGTTCAAAATGGCTTCACTTTCACCACACATACATCCCATGTCACTTTCACCACACATACATCCCATGTCACTTTCACCACACATACATCCCATGTCACTTTCACCACACATACATCCCATGTCACTTTCACCACACATACATCCCATGTCACTTTCACCACATATACATCCCGTAGTCGTGCTATTCAGCAGGCCCGTAGCACTGTTTTCGATATAAAACGGAGGTAAGTATTTATACAGCTCGTCTCTGTCTAAATGACATCATAATTGCTAAAACTATGTATTTTGCTAAAGTTGAATATCTGTAAATTTTAATCAATGAAAATATGTCAATAATGATTACAGATTTTAATAACTCAGAGACACCGTATTTAACCAGAACAAACTTTTGGCATGGTAAAAATGAAATGAATCACTTGCTAATTAGCTGATTTATCTGTGCGAGTATTTCATTTCCGTCTTTCTTTTGCGTCTGCAAGTAAGTTCGTATTCTTTTGAAACCTCTTTAATAACCGTTCCCATTAACTATGCAAAACGATGTTATGAAGCAAAAATATGGCAATTGGAATTATCTCTATAGCATATTCACACGTATGGTTTGCCGAAAATATGTTTTGGTGGCATTACTTTCCTAGTATTTTTCCAACGGTTTCGACGTAACTCTTTCCTGTGTTCATATATCGCCGCAGTTTTATCGATTTTCAGTCCAAAAATTGGTTTGTTGACTCTTAAATGTTCTTATGTACTTCCATATGTTGTTTTCCTAGTGTTTATTTCAAGCAATAAAACCTATTACAATTCTCACCAATACAAATGTCTCTTCAAGCTCGTTAATTTTAGATAAATCACACAAAATGCATTTAACCCATACATGTATACGTAAATAAAATATATGGGCATCTTTAAATTGAGGACATGCTATCAAATTCAAACTTGTTTTTCCTGAAAGGAACCTCAGATTTTTTTGCAACGCAACCTACTTGCCGATGGATTTGATGTGTCATATGCATATGTTCTAACGACGCGTTATTATTCATTGTAACAGATTTGTATCGGTAGAGCGAATAGCCCATTGATCATTTCGGTTTTAATTCAGCAACGTTATCCTCGACATGTTGATTATGCAGAAATGTTCCTGCATGTTTCTGGAGATACATCTCTTTTATGTAAGCGCAAAGTTATTTTGTGGAAAACAATCTGTCACATTATATCACAATTGTTTTAGCCAATCGTTTACCTATTAACGACTAATTCAGACTCGATATATAAATAACATAATCATACAATTACTTCTAAAACCGGCTTAAGGGGGAGATACAGTGACCATTAGTGAAAAATTCAAGAACAATGAGTTCCGTAACGCATTTGTTTGTGCCCACTGGTTTCATTTGTGAACAAACATTTAACAAAATCATGTTTTCTCTCCAACAATGTTTTTTTTAAAAGAAAAGGAGTGTATTTGTAATAGTTTATGGTTGCATCGCTGTAGCTTTTTTTACATGATAAAATATTACAAAATATAGATAATTTATTTTTCGGACATATAAGGAATGGAAACCTATTGAGATATTTTCGAAATTCTATTATATCGACAAAAATCCTTTCACAACACGAGTGGGGGTGACAAATTTCTTTAATAAAAATATATGGTGTTGACAATCTGTTAGATGATAAGTTTTGTTTAAATGGGTATCGTTACCAATAACTTCTACTGGAGAGAACATGGATCGCAAGCAGATTCGACGAAAAAAAACCCGATTTCACATACTTGAATCCGAATGTTGTTTACATCTCGCCATGATGGACTATTTACATCCTGTGATATCACGCCGCGAATCCGAAAATCTTTCCGAAACGTCGATAAAACTGATATTGTAGACTCTAAATGATAATGGTTTATCTTATGCAACAAGATTGGTGTAATAAGAATATGTAATATTATGCTTAATTGGTAAAATCTCAAACAACTGACAAACATGTAGTTCTTCGGAAGCGGAGTATAAACAACAACACAGGTGCTGTTGGGCACATCCGGTAAGCTTAACAAGGAAACGTCGATATGCAAGTAAGTATGATTTACATATTAATATTACTATTACGTTCGAGATCCTTATATATTATGCAATATATGCTGCATATATTATCACTGAGCTAGCCAATCGCAGATCGTCAGTTTCTTATCAATTCTATATCACTTTTAATGGTGTGTTTGTTCCGTATTGAACTGTCAGGTAAGTGTCAGATCTGCATTTCCTCGCGTGGTTTCAAGTATTTGTTTGGGGTCCGAAAACTTTCTCGTTTTATCGACAACACGACCATTTGTGAACTAAAATTATTTTTGATGTTTGATTCATATCTCTCCATGTACATATGTGTCATCATTTGTTGTATTGACATTTTAATGTATTTATTATCTACAAAAAACATTTGTTATGTATTGTGTATCCCCTGCCAGAAGCGCCCGTAAATGTAACCGAGTATAATAGACCCTGCGGTACTGTATGGTGACTCATACACCTGTAGCACTTCTAGGTAGAGATAGGAAAAATAAAACGACGAGTTTCAAAGTTTAATGCAGCAACTGGACGGCATTCTGCACGTAGCAAACTACGACAGGGGAAGTTAGCAAAAACGTTAGCAGAATTTAAGAAGTAGGACAAGGAGAAAAGGTGCAATCCATACCGGGTATTAAGGCGATATAATATCATAAATGGCCAGCCTATATTTCGTCTTGCAGTGACAAGAATAAAGGAGAGGAAATCTCAACTGAGAGCCCGGAAGTTGAGACAAAATGTACTGAAGGTAACACGGTTATGTCTGCTCAACAGCTGAAATCAAGGCATTGTGAACCAAAACCACAGCTGTACGTGCTCCCGGAATTGGACGGACACTAGTCAGGCAATGGAAGCAGACATTATAGTTGAGGGCTTTCAGAAAGCGGAATCAACACATGGTCTGCGCTACATGCGCCTTATTGCTGATGGGGATAGCTCTGTGCTTGCCAGGATCCAACAGCAAGTGCTAGTGTGGGGACTGAAAGTCACAACCATAGTTGCAAATGACTGCGTACGAATATAGAAAAACTGGTGGAGAGTAAAACTCAGTATAAAGGTCAAGGAAAACTTACCAAGATATTCATATTTGTCTCACTAAGGGCGTACGATGCGCAATTCGTATGAGGTCACAGGAAACAGACAGGAAGGCGGCTGACCGAAAACCTGAGCACGATATCAGGAATTCAGTGCATCATGTTTTGGGTTACCATGGCAACTGCAGTGATTTTTTGTACCAAGAAGCCGGAACAATCCTTAGATTGTGTTTCAAATGGCGTTAGTGGTATGGACACTGCTGATACCATTCCTGATGTTTTGGCTGACCAGGAGCAAGCAAGGAAACAAGCGATATGTGAAGAAGGGCTTAAGGAATCACGTTTTTGAACCAAGAGGACCGGTACAATACAGAAAGGATCTAAGAGTGTAAACATTCAGCATGGCTAGAACGGGGTTTGAACCAAGGACCTCAAAATGTTATACCACCGCTCTAACCGACTGGGTTACCTTGTCAACAGAATAGTCCTAACTCAGCTGTGCTATATTTTAATTCCAAAACGAAATTAAGTGGGGATTAGTACTGTAAATACGAGTTAATTAGGACAGGGATCCTTAATACTAGAATATATATTAAACGTGTGACAAGCTCCTGATGGAGATCTATGTATCTTGACGAGCAATTGATGTCTGAATTAAAAAAATACAATTGAAGGAGCCTTGTCCCACTGTTGCTAAAACAATTAAAAAATTCCACGAGAGTATTTCGTACATGTACATGCAGTAATCTACCCTAAATTTCGTAACATAATCATGGCGCGACCCGAGGTACTAAAAGGTGACAAAGAAGCCCAGCTTGTAAAATCCACAGTAAAATAATCGGAGGTCAATGATTCGAAAACTAGTCTCCTCGGCCCGTTACCTTTCTCAATTAGAACAGTATTCTTAATTTTCATTTATTTGTTCCATATTGATTGTTATTTTTCATATAAATTTCTCAATGTATGGCTTTCCTGTTAGAAACGATATGGGTTACCGTTTATAA